CCCGCCCCCCGCCATCCCCTTTCTTATTTCTTGGCACCCTCTCATCCGATCCGCCAACTGTCTCCGCCCCGTCCCTCCCCCCGCAAAACACAGTGGTCTCGACATCCCCCACGTCCATGCGGTCATCAACTACGACGTGCCGGCCGCCCCGACGGACTACATCCACCGGATCGGTCGTGCCGGTCGTGCCGGCCGGGCCGGTCGCTCGGTCACCCTCATCACCGAGACCGACATTGAGTTGGTTCATGCGATTGAGGCGCGCGTCGGACAGAAGATGGACGAGCTGGAGGTCTCCGAGCCCGAGGTCCTGCGTGGCCTGAACACCATCATGGCGGCCCAGAAGCAGGCCGTGTCGGTACGCGTTTGCCCCTCTCTCCCTTTCGCCCCTCCGTTGCTGCCGGGCGGGGACGCCCCCGCCCCCCTTTATTGCCGCCCCGCGCCCACTGGCACACACTCACACGATGTGCCCCCCTCTCCCCTGGCCCTGCTTGGTGACCACGAACGATGGCCACGACACCCGCCCCCCCCCCCCCCGAAGACCATGATGTCCGGGCAGTTTGATGAGCTGGAGACCAAGCGCAAGGCCAAGCGGCCGGGCGTGGCTGCGGCCGCAGCTGCCGACGCGGCCCGCCCCCCGGCCCAGAAGAAGAGCCGCAAGTAGCCGCGGCCACCCGCACTCCATTGGCACCTGGCGCCCCCAATACACACAATAGACTGCCGACGCACAGTGATCACGACGCTGGCCATGCGGCGCCCTTCGCGGGCCGTGCCGCGCACGTCCGCGCGCCGCCCCCGCGTCCCCCATTGCTTCGCGGTGGTTTTCTCCGGCGGGGGGGGGGGCTCTCTTTCGGGTTTCCCGGTCGCCGGGGGAGCGAGGGAACCGGGGCGGACACAGACACCGGCCGGCGCGGGTGGCCCGTGTGGTGGTGTGCCGGGCGGCGTCCGCCCATCTCCCGCCCTTGTCCCTGCGCCGCCGTGCGTGTGACGGGGTGGGTGGGGGGAGGGGGGGGGGGACACGCGTGTTGGCGGCCAGGCCCGGCCGGGGCGGGGGAAACTGGCCCCGCGTACCGGGCTCCCTTCTCGGCCCCTCCATGTGAAGAGGCCCGGGCCCGGGGGGCATTCTCGGCGCGAGGTGGGTCACCCCCTTTCGTTCTGTAGCCTTTTTCCATGTATCTCTCCCCCTCTGCCTTGCTTTTCCCTCTCCCTCTCTCCCTCTCCCTCACTCTCCCTCACTCCCCCCCCCCCCCGCGCGTGTCCCTTGTTGACCCCCCCCCCCCCCCCCCCCTCCTGTCCGCAGAGTTGTTTCCACGAACGAACGCACCATGGTCCCCAAGAGTGCGTTTCGGCGTTGCCCAGATTTGCCCCGGCTCCCTTGTCCCGCATGCCGCACATACACCCGGCTCCCCGTGGCCCTGCTCTAACATGCGCTCGTCGATCCCCAGAGCACGGCTCGAACCGCATGTCGGCGTACCTCAAGTACAAGATCGCCCGCAATGTGCGCGATCACAACCGCAAGGCCAAGAAGGCCGCGCGTGCCAACCCCAACACCCACCGCCGTGCGTGCTTCCCCTCGGGCTGCCCTCCTGCCATGCTCCAAAGCCCCCCCCCCCCCCCTGGGTCCTTTTTGTTGTTGCTTTCCTCCGGCGGCCCACCCCCGGCCATCAGACATACTGACCTCCCGACCTGCAGTCAAGAAGGACCCCGGCATTCCGTCCCTCTGGCCCTTCAAGGACCGCCTGGTCCAGCAGGTGCTCGAGGCCAAGGAGCAGGTGCGTGTCCCCTCCGCGCGGGGCCCTTCGTGTGCCGGCCGGGCGCCCGGCCTTCCTGCTCGGCATGTGTGACTGACACCGGCCGCCGGCCCCTCAGGCCCGCATCGATCGCGAGGCCAAGCGCGAGGCGTATCGCGCCAAGCAGATCCAGGCTTCGCAGCTGAAGCGCGAGGAGGCCCTCCTGGAGGAGGAGGCCCGCACGGTGGAGGATCTGCAGCAGCGGGCCGAGCGCCGCGCGGCCCAGTCCGAGCGCGAGCAGCGCCGCAAGAGCACCGACGCCCAGCGCAGCATGCAGGGCGAGGCCGGGCTCCAGGTGAATGACAACTCCCGCCGGGCGTACTACCGGGAGTTCCGCAAGGTGGTCGAGGCGGCCGATGTCATCCTGCAGGTGCTGGACGCGCGCGACCCGCTGGGCTGCCGGTCGCCCCAGATCGAGGAGATGATCCTCAAGGCCGGCGGCGGCGACAAGAAGATCATCCTGGTCCTGAACAAGGTGGACCTGGTGCCGCGCAAGAATGTCGAGGCCTGGATCAAGTACCTGAGCCATGAGTTCCCGACCATCGCCTTCAAGGCCAGCACCCAGCAGCAGCGGACCAACATCGGCCACGGGTCGTCCGGGGCCCTGAATGCGGCTGCCTCGTCCGGCGGGTCGGATGACAGCGCCGCCATCACCACCTCCGAGTGCCTGGGTGCCGACTCGCTGATTCGCCTGCTGAAGAACTACAGCCGCAGCCACGACATCAAGACCAGCCTGCGCGTGGGTGTGGTGGGCTTCCCGAATGTCGGCAAGTCGTCCCTCATCAACTCGCTGCGGCGGTCGCGCGTGTGCGGCGTCGGCGCGGTGGCCGGCTTCACCAAGACCGCGCAGGAGGTCATCCTGGACAAGAACATCCGTCTGCTGGATTGCCCGGGCATCCTGTTCACCGGTGACGACGCCACGGTCGACCCGTCCATCGTCCTGCGGAACTGTGTCCGCGTGGAGGCCATCGCCGATCCGGTTGGCGCGGTGGGCTACCTGCTGACCCGCCTGCCCAAGAAGCAGGTCATGCTGCTGTATCGTGTTGGGGACTTCGACTCGACCATCCGGTTCCTGGTGCAG